TACCCATGGGTCTATGATTTTAAGTATTTTAATTTTTTGCTTTTAGTTTCAAGGTCAGTTTGAAAACTGTAACCTGTCAAGAAGTCTGTCATCACCAGTTGCTATTATACATAATGGGTGGATATTTATCTGAGGCCACATATACAACATAATTGTCTTTGGAATTGAAGCCAACAGATTTATCGCCATAAAGTCATAAAACAATTTAGAATGGTAGGGCAGTGATTGTTTTCAACTGTGTTGGAGGCTTACAGTGCAGAGTTCCCACAGATATATTTATTTTCATTAAGAAAAAAAAAAAAAACTTTTTCAAAGAATGATTGGTTATTTCAGTGTGATTATATAATTTCAGTGGAGGAATATTATGAGATGAAGTAGAAAGAACATAGGATTTATGTTTTAGTATTAGCTCTGCCCTCAACTAGCTACCTTTTTGGGCCTTGGTCTCCTCATAAGTAAAATGAGGACATGGAATAAATAGTGTGTTATGTCCCTTGAAGCTCTGAAATTCTGCATCTGAACCCTGTTCATTATCAGATTCACAGCTGTAGCTCAACTATGCAAGTGTGACTCATCATGGTACAAGGTAGAACCTAACCATTTCTATATTTAGAAGACCATGGGGGTAAAATGTCAATTAGCTGTATTTGATTAAAAGAGCTACCTAAAATAAGAAATGTTCATTTTCTTATTTCAAATGTAAAGGATTCTGATCAACAAATAAGAACATGGTGCATTAGAGTTGCATAATACTATTAATATCAGATCATCATTAATGTTCTGAAAAAGTTCTTTTCATTAATGAAACAACTTGTAATATTAGGAATATATTGATGTTAAATGACTCCTAAAAGTTGGATGTCCTGTGACTATTTTATGTGGTCTTATGATAATGAGTCTTGTATCTTGAGGAGTATTTCTAAATTCATATGCACAGTAGAGTATTGCTATCTTTATCATAGTTACCTTGGGAAGCTGAGCTCTGTTTTCATATCACATCACTAAATATTTACTAAGCATCTACTACTGTGCCCTGATGCTGTTAAGGTGGAGGCAGAGTTGGAGAATTGTAGTTATGAATCTTCCCTCAAATGTGTATTTTTTCTTTATCAATCTCAGTCATTCCTCTTTTACCCCACATGAGCTATGCAGAGGCCCTGAGGTATTACTCATCTCATACCACCCTTAGTTCACCCTGAGATGCCTTTTGTTGTAATAAAGGCCCTCTAGGACCAAAAGTTCTGCTTCTGTGCCAAAGAGGGGTATGGAAATCTCTGGTAGCTCTGGGAACCCTGTGTTGAGCGTCCACCCTCCTTCAGTTCCTCATACAGGCAGCTGCTTTGAGATCTTATTATCTGTCAGTCATTTCATTAGTTCTGTACCTTCTTGGAATTTGTTCATCATTTCCATCTCTCTTCCACCCAATTTCAGTGAGATCTATCTCTCTTTTCCTTAAAGACACTAACCTACCCAGGATAACTAGCATTCTTTCTGAGCCTTTTTTTTTTTTTCTTTAATATTAACTGATAGAAAAGTGTTTGTCTCCAGATGATAGGAAAGATACTTTTTTTCTTTGTGTCATGCAAAAATCCTCAAGGAACATACATTCTAAAGCTCTAAATATCTAGACTCCTGCTTGAAATAGAAGGAGGGAGGAAAGAAAGAAAAAAAGAGAGAAACACATATCTCGAGTTGTCCAGCTACACAAAGACGTGGTTTCTGAGAGCCGCAATTCCAGTGGGAATGAGTAGTCTATAAAAAAACTGAAGTTTTCTTGTATAATTTTTGTAAAGCTATTTCTGCCATGATTCTTTCTATGCCATCCACTTTTTTCTTTCTTTCTTTTGCTCGCTCCTCCCTTCTTCTCTTTTTATTTTTTTCAGAAAAGGCACAAAATTAGAGTTGGTGACACATGGTTTAGAGTTCTCTTTCCCTCACTTGCTAGTAATAGGATCTTAATCAAGTCACCTTATCTCTCTGCACCTGAGTTTTGTACTTGCAAAAATGGGGATGATGCCACTTGTCCATACTTACAGAACTTTTGTTAGACCAAGTACGAAAACGTAAATGCTCGATAAACTATAAGGTATTGGGCTAATATAAACTTTGTTGATTTAATGCAGAAGAGAGCCAGGTATATCTGTATTCATTCAGTTCCTGCATTTGCCACTTACTAGCTTAGTGTAATTTTTGTTTCTGTATATGTATAAATCTGATAACACCTACTTTGTGGTTGTAAGGAAGAAATAAGATAATTTTTATATATCTCTGTGAAGTAAATTGGTACATTTTATCCCCTTTTCTTAGATGAAACAGTTGAGGCTCAGAGAGTTAAAATAATTTGGTCAGGATTGTACAGGTGAGAAGTGACATTGTCAGAATAAATTCTTGGTATCAAATATGGGTTTCATGTTTTAGATAAATTGTATCAGGTAATTTTAAAGAGAGAGTTCCATGTATGTTTGGAACATAACATATACACATACATGCAGATGAGACCCATAGAAGCATTGTTTTGTGACACTCAGATTTATTTGTTCTTGTGCATTTGTTCAGTCTTATTTTATCGTCAGCTTGTACAAATTTAAAAATGTGGTCTTATATCAAGTTAATGACCCAGGAAAAGGGAGAGACTAATTGGCTCCCTTTTCAGTTGTAGTGCTGGTTGATTCACAAGACCTACATTGATGAGCAATGTATATTAGAATTTTCAAAATTCTAGTTGATGGCTTCAATAACCTATTGAGCTAGGACATATGATGGGGTTCACTTGTAGTTTTATAAATCCCATGTCTCCCATTTTGCTTTGTGTTACACTTGACTGGTAATAATTATTTTTTTTTCCTATGGAAACTTCCTTGATTGTCAGTACATCTCCAAGGGCATAATCGTGATATATTAAAAAATAATCATGTAAATTATAATCATCTTACATTTTCCAGAATATTTTTAATGATGAGGTTTTTTTCTTTTTAATTATTGATTGGGACTTTCCTGGCTTGGGATAAGGTAACCATATGCAAATTGTTTTATTTGCTATACTCTCAGTTTAAGTGTAGGATTATAGCAAGACTTGATATTGGGGCATAACAAGAAAGTAATTTATACTTTTGCCTTGGAGAAGTTCTTTGTTTAAATTATGCTAAATAAACCCCTAGCAATTTTAAGACTGAGGTATGGTAAGGTGGGAGATTTTTACCTATTCATAGATACATAAAATAAGTATACAGACTGAGAAAGGAAATTATTCGATCTTGAGATTATAAGTATGTACTCCTAATAACCATGCAAGTAATATGAATGTATGAATGGGGGCCTGGGTGGCTCAGTCGGTTAAGTGTCTGACTCAATCTCAGCTCAGGTTGTGATCTGGGGGTCATGAGTTCGAGCCTCATGATGGGCTACTTAAAAAGAAAAATAATAAGAAATTCAAGTGTTCTTTTAACATTATCATTTATAGTGTTGAAAAGAGTGTATAGCCATGTCTTTTGTGCCAACAATGACAGAAGTGCAAGTTTGAGTTGTATTAACATACATGTTAAAAAGCAGTGTTGCATGTTTTCAGCACATTTACATCTCTCTCATAATTTATATCCCTCCTCTTTTCAGTTTTGATCAGAAGATTTCCTCCATGTTATTCTTCAAATAGCAGGCTAACTTTTTTGAGGACTTGATCAGAGGATGGGACTCAGCATGGTAGCTGGTAGCAAAAAATCAAAGCATACTTGTGTCTTGTTTCTGACCACTCTCCTGGAAATAAGTTGTAGCCTCAGGGCAGGGAAATGTTCAAATCCATTTCAGGAATTTGTCTTCTTGTACAATGTATGCATTAACTTTAAAAAAGTTGTATGTTTAAATATTGTTGATAGTTTGCTCTATGGTATATGTTATTTTTCATAGCATTCAATATTATTGGAATGATTATTTTTATTTTTATAAAGCCAGTGAAGCTTATTGAAAGGACACATTAATCTACACTGAGAGTGTGTTTACTTCCCAATCAACCACAATCAATTAACTTTTTCACAAGTATGTTTCTAATGGTCCAGGTCTGGTTTCTTGCCCGACTGAGACCTATTTTCTTTATAGTGTGGCCCAATAAAAGAGCCAAGAAGTAGATTCAAATCCAATTAGCTTTACTGTTTCCCTAGAATGATCTAGACATGAAAAATAGCCACCTCTGTACATCATAACCTGTTGTCCTGGCAAAATTATTACTGGCAGATGTTATATTCTCAAAAGTGTCTTGGTTTATATGAGTAATTATATGTCACCTTACCAATTAGGTAGGTATTGATGGTATCTTCTTTTCTTCTGACTTTCTTTTTCTTTTCAAAGCCTGGGAAATCTAAAAACACTGGAATTTTAAGTGTCTTTCCCAAAGATAGATAGCTACTTTGTGACAAACCTAGAATTTACCCTAGTTGTTTTGACTTAAGCCTTGAGCCTTTTCCAGTTTAGATTTTTAAGGATTTGTCCTGTGACTATTTATTGTTAGGTATATTCATTCTTTTTCCCTCTCTCTCTCTCCCTCTCTCTCTCTCCTTCTTTCTTTGTATTCTTGAATATCTTCATGTGTCATATAAAGCATTTAGAGAAATCGAGATAAAGTGAGCCATACTAATTATAAGCTATCTCCAAATAATGAGAAATTGTTGGAAATACTATCATCAGCCAGGTGCTGGAAAGCATTAAAAAAGCAAGCAGCATAACACTGTGGCCAGTTTGACCTTTGGAGGAAAATGTAAATTTGTCTTGAATTGGCCAGCCTGTGCCAGAGATTATCATTTTACTGATACTCTGACCATTTCTTTCAGGCTGGTCACTCGTAATTGATCCAGGTCTCATGTATAACAGATTGAACTCTAGGCAAACAATTTTAATTGTTTTTCCAATTGCTATCAGCTCTGAAAATCAATATGTGCTTCTAGAAATTAAGGTAGCTAGCAAGAATGTTTTGTTCATGCTAGGTACTAATTTTCTTTTTTTGTGTTGGCTAGACTTTTCTAGATATGACATTTGGTTCAGGAGGACATACAAGAGCCATTCTACAGAAGGAGTCAGATATTACTCTGTATGCCTTAGACAGAGACCCAACAGCTTATGCAATAGCTGAACAGCTTTCAGAATTGTATCCGTAAGTAATTCTCTTGTATAGTTATTGAATTTTGGTGCTGAGTTTTATACAGCTTGGTTTACCATTTTGGAATTTGTTCTCCCTTGTATGTTGTTATACTTCACTTTGTTAATATTTTCTCCCTTTTTCCCCCTGAAAGAATTAATGTAAATATTGTTTTTAGTACCACTTAAAAATGATATTACTGCCTTTATCCTTTCTGAATCATAAAAATAAATACAAAAATGACTTATGGCTAAAATTTGAAGATGGGTTGAAATCCATCCATGAGTAGTATTTTGACAATAGTTTAAAAAATAATTTTTAAATAATTTATGAGTTACAGTTTCCAAGAATTTACTGAAGCAAATAAGTATGTGAGAATTCTGCAGAATTCACTAGTTCACATACATCAGTGTAATGCAGTTCTTGTCTCTGAATTCTTTTTGAAATTCACAAGTAAGTTTAGAGCAATCTATCCCTCAGTCAAGAATTAGGTGAGCTTTCACTGTGGAGCTTTTTAAAAATATAAAATACTGTCTTCATGAGTTGTTAAATCATCTTCCTTTAGAGAAAATTTTGGATTAGTGAATTATGCTATGTTACTAAAAAGTTATCATTCTGAAAAAGGAAAATGTCTTGGAGCTAAGTTGACTACCTACAAATATGTAAAGGGCTATTTTCAGGAATAAGGAATTGTTCTCTCATGCTTCAGCGACTGAAACCAAGAAAATAGATGAGAATTTTAGAGGCAGATTTTGACTTGATGTAAGCGAGAGTTTTTTGCTAGTTGTAACTGTCCAATAGAGAAAAGGTCTGTTTGGTGAAGTAGCAAAATTATGACCATTGAAAAGTTTAATCACAGACTAAGGATAGGAAGTTGAATTACTAATCTAGAATAGTCTTTTTCAACCTCTCAGGTCCCAAACACTTTGCAAATCTATCAGTGTGATTAATTCTCCCAATAAAAATTAACTAAATACACCTAGGTTTTTGTTTGCAACATCAGAGGGTTCAGTAGGAATGCCTGAAATCCATTTGACCCCAGGTTATTCTAAGAAAAATATGAGGATATGGTATGATGATGTGATACTTTTTTTTTTTTTTTTTTTTAAACCTGTCTCTTGTCATTCTGCAATGTAACTAAGATGCATCTTCTTTAAGAAGCTCTTGTACTACTAGGGCATTCATGTTTGTGAAACATCTTAGGAGTTCACCTGATTATGACCTGAGTGTTCATAGAATGAGTATAAGTCTCCATTATATTTCACTGTCATAGAAAAACTGGATTTTCTTAGATGATATTATTTCTAAAGGCAATGAGTTCCAGTTCAGTTTTTCCAAGGTCTCTTATTCCTTCAAATAGACTCCTTTTCTCAGAAGGAACTTAAAATTTTATCAATTTTATCAGATGTAATTTGTTATCTAACAGGAATCTTGAGACAGTATTCTCTCTTCAGTTTAGAGTTGTAGAAACCATGAGCTTAGGTTAAATGATTTGCTAAAAGGCATATATGACTAAGTAGAGATAAAGCTGGGACATGTATTCTCCCCATCACCTAATAATAGTATTTTTTTAATTGAAGTGTAGGTGACATACTATGTTTTATAGTTTCAGGTGTACACAACATTTCTACACATTACTCAATGCTTATCATGGTTAAGTATAGTCAACATCTATCACAATACAGCCTTATTACAATATTATTGACTCTATTCCCTATGCTGTACTTTTCATCTCTATCACTTATTTATTTTATAACTGAAAGTTTGTACCTCTTAGTCCCCTTCACTGACTTCACCCGTCCTCCCACCCATCTTTCCTCTGGCAACCACTAGTTTGTTCTTTGTTTTTAAGAGTCTGTTTTTGTTTGTTCATTTTTTTTTTTTTAACTTTCAGATTCCTCGCATAAATGAAATCATATATTTGTCTTTATCTGTCTCACTTATTCCACTCGGCATTAATACCCTCTGGTTCCATCCATGTTGTCACAAATGGCAAGATTTCATTCTTTTTTATGGCTGAGTAATATTCCATTGTATGTATATCTTTATTCATCTATCAGTGGACACTTGGGTTGCTTCCATATCTTTGCTATTGTAAATAATGCAGTAAACATAGAGGTGCATATATCTTTTGAAATTAGTTTTTGTTCTGAGTAAATAGTCAGCCATGGAATTACTATATTGTATGGTATTTCTATTTTTAATTTTTTGAGGAATTGCATACTGTTTTCCACAGTGGTTGCACCAATTTACGTTCCCACCAAGAGTACAGGAGCATTCTCTTTCTCCACATCCTCCCCAACACTTATTATTTTTTGTCATTTTGATACTAGCCATTCTGACTTCTGTGAGGTGATATCTCATTGTGGTTTTGATTTTCATTTCTCTGATGATTAGTGATGTTGAACATCTTTTCATGTGTCTGTTAGCCCTCTGTATGTCTTCTGTAGAAAAATATCTTTTCAGGTCTTCTGCCCATTTTTAAATTGGATTGTTTGGTTTTTTGGTTTTTTGGTTTTATAAGTACTTTATGTATTTTGGATATTAACCCCTTATTGGATATATCATTTGCAAATGTCTTCTCTCATTCAGGAGGTTGCCTTTTTGTTTTGTTGGTGAATTCCTTTGCTGGCAAAAGCTTTTAGTTCTTATCTCTTTGATGCAGTCCCAATAGTTTATTTTTGCTTTTGTTTCCCTTGCCTGAGGAGACATATCCATAATAAATATGTTGCTAAGGTGAATGTCTAAGAGATTCCTGCCTTTGTTTTCTTTTAGGAGGCTTATGGTTTTAGGTCTCACATTTAGGTCTTTAATCTACCTTGAATTTATTTTTGTGGGTAGTGGTCCAGTTTCATTTTTGGCACACAGCTGTCCAGTTTTCCCAATACCATTTATTGAAAAGACTGTCTTTCCCTCATGGTGTTTTTTTTACCTCCTATGTGATAGATAATTGACCAGATAATCATGGGTTTATTTCTGGAGTCTCTGTTCTGTTCCAGTGAGCTATATGTGTCTATTTTTGTGCCAGTACCATACTCTTTTTATTACTGTAGCTTTGTACTATATCTTGAAATATGAGATGATGATTCCTTTGGCTTTGTTCTTCTTTTTCAAGCCTAATAACCTCATTTTATTAAGTTTTATACTACCTTGACTCAAATCTTATTGAAACTTTTTTTAGTTCCTCGGTAAGATAATTCTTTGCCAAGTATAATAAATTAGTTAAGGAACAATAGAATAATCAAAATAAGGCAAGAAGAAGGGATTAATATGGATAAAAACCAGAATCAAAGAAACTGAAAAGAAGAAAGAATAAAGAAGTTCCAAGTGATTATTCTTTGAAAATAGCAAAATTCCTTTACAGCCTGATTATTAAGGGAAAAAAATGATCAAAAACATATGATCAAGATTGAAGAGGACACCAGCTATAGACACAAGATAAGTTAATCATAAGATAATACAACCATAATTCTGTGGTAACATGTGAAACCTCAATGAAATGAATAATGTCTTAGGAAATATAAATTATTAAAATTGAATAATTATAAAACTTTAATAGGCCATTACCAGAAAAGAGATAAGAAAGGTAATTAGAGTACATAGAACAATGCACCATGACTAGATTTGTAATTGTTACCTAGCTTTTAAAAAATAGGGAAGAGTGGGGCACCTGGGTGACTCAGTCATTAAGCGTCTGCCTTCGGCTCAGGTCATGATCCCAGGGTCCTGGGATCGAGCCCCGCATTGGGCTCCCTGCTCGGCGGGAAGCCTGTTTCTCCCTCTCCCACTCCCCCTGCCTGTGTTCCCTCTCTCGCTGTGTCTCTCTCTGTCAAATAAATAAATAAAATCTTTAAAAAAAAAATAAAAAATAGGGAAGAGCATTGTCTTTTATGCTATTCTTTTTTTTAATTTTTTTTATTTTTTATTATTATTTTTTTATTCTTATGTTAATCCCCATACGTTACATCATTAGTTTTAGATGAAGTGTTCCAGATTCATTGTTTGTGCATAACACCCAGTGCTCCATGCAGAATGTGCCCTCCTCAATACCCATCACCAGGCTAACCCATCCTCCCACCCCCCTCCCCTCTAGAACCCTCAGTTTGTTTTTCAAAGTCCATCGTCTCTCATGGTTCATCTACCCCTCCGATTTCCCCCGCTTCATTCTTCCGGTAAGTATGTAAAGCTTTTTCAGTTCACTTTATATTGAATCTAGCATAGTTTTATACTTAATCCTGCTAGAAGTAGTATAAAAGAAAAAAAAAAGTCTAACCTCACTGAAGAATATAAATGCAAAATTCAAAAGGAAATACTAGCGTATCTAATTCATGTATCATTTAGTTAAAAGAATAATACCTATGGCCTAATTAAAAGAATAATACCTAATAATACCTAAAGAATACAGAGATGCCTCCAGGTCAGACAGCCAATCAATGACAGATTGATAAGCATGACTATAATCAGCTAGCTATTCTTATTAAAATCTCTATGTTAAACAGGAATATAAGTAAACTACTTAAATGTAAAATATACTATTATCAAAGGACAAACAGTAATTATTTTCCCAAAAGGTGAAATACTATAGCAATTTAAGTCAAAATCAGGATGTAAATATGGATTAGCTTCTATAAATATTACAATCAGTATTTTTGGAAGTTCTGGCATATAGAAGTAAGAAACTGGTTAAAATATTCTTCTTGTGATGATTTGACCAAAAGACTTGTAGAATTAATAAGATGATACAATAAGATGGTTAGATAGAAATTTAAAAAATATACTCAAGTAAATACTTGAAAAGGGAAATATGAAAAAAAATCCATTCTCAAAAAAGTACCTAACACTATATAGAGTATTTAGTAGTAAATTTAACAAGAAAGGCACAGTTTCAAATTAAAAAAAAATAAAACTTTATAATTTTATTAAAGGACATACAAGATCAAACAGAAGAGAAAACATTTGTTTTGGTGTAGTACAAATTAATATTATAAAAAAAGGTCAATTCTCAAATTTAATGT